CGCGTACTCCATCATGTCAATCGCGATGGCTACTCCAGGCTGTCGCTGAAATCGCCTGCCGCAGAACACAAAGTTATCGTACTCCTCACTGCCGAAGCCGAACTCATTCCCGAGCGCGCCCATGACCTTCGCCATCTTGTCGTTCCCCGTCCAGAGGAAATCGTCCACGGGAATGCAGACACAGCCCCACAGCGCGCCCGGCCCGCGCTGCTTCGCCTTCGGGTCGCGGAACACCAGGAAGGCAGGGTCCGAGCGAGAGGGTTCCAGCCCCAGCTTGCGCGCAGCTGAGACCACCTTCAGGTACCACAGCCTCGGCGCCGTGGGCAGCCCGAACACGCCCTTCCGAACTCGCGCCAGCCGACCTCGCGGGAAGTCCGCCAGCGAGGGACCGTGCATCGGAGCGCGGATCACCAGGCCGCGCTCGTCCACTTCGCCCTTCAGGAACGCAACGCTGACGTCCTTGGACCCGAACTTCCACTCCGGGTGCGACGCCGCCACTTGCGTCAAGATCATCTCCGACTGGGTGGTAGCACAGGGGGCGTCCATCCTCACGTTAGTCTTCTCGTCCGAACGCCCGGGGTCGCCACTGTTGACCACGAGCCTCGCGGTCGCCTTCATCGGCAGGTCATTCGTCTCCGTCCTCAGCGGGTCGTTCTTGTGGGTCAGCACCCACCGCGTGCTCATGACGTAGTCGCCCTTGCCGTCGCGCTTCATCTGCTCCTCGAGCTCGGCGGACTCCTTCTCCAGCAGCACCTCCACGGACTCCGTGTCTATCCACTTCGCCCACTGCGCCGCTGCCGCCTCCTCGTAGTTCGCCTTCGTCGGCGGGCCCATCCGACTCCAGATCTTCTCCTTCCGGGCCTGACCCTGCACAAGCATCGCCTCGAACTTGGGGTCGGTCACCGGCACTGCCTCCAAGTGGTCCAGGAAGCGTCGTCGATCCGCTTCAGGAGCACCTTTGAACCACGCTTTCGCTCGTTTCTTCACGCCCTTGACCCAGAGCGCCTCGTCGGGGCGCTTAGGCCCCGGTGGTCCATCACGTCCTCCACGAGATGGCGCCGCAGGCAGCTCAGCCTCCACTACATCACGCGTCCGCCCGTGAGTCTGGACCTCAAGCGCCGCCGGCGCCGACTCCACCGCGGGCGCGATGAGGCTCGAAGCGCCACCTCCACGTCCTTGTTATTCGTTCTCGTCGTCCTCGGCGCGCGGCGCCCTCGGCGCGAAATTCCGCAGGGCCCGAACGGTCCGTCTGGAATAACGCTCGCCACCGGTGCCGTAGCAGTCGAAGGCCTCGACCCCTCACGCACCTCTCCAACTTGCTTCCGGATAGTCTTGGCCACGCGCAGCGCCTTGGACCTGGTCGGGCCCTCGCCCTGGCCCCGCAGCCGCTGCGCCACGTCATGCAGGAAGTCGGTATTCCCGCTCTCCCGAGAACTCGTCTTCCGCGAGAACTCGGCGCTCGAAATGGGATCGAGCTCGCCACTGGCCGAAACACCGGCCATCGCAGCCACGACGGCCGACGGTGGAATTCCGCCCGTCGACTCCTGCTGCTCCTGCTCGGCGCACTCCTCGACGTCTTCGTCAGCCTGAGAAGGTCGAGCCTCAGCCTCCGGCGCTTTACCACCATCAGCGGGTGCGACATCGCCCTCGTCCTCATGCGCCTTGGTCGCGCCCTCCATGTCGGGCTCCCCCTCGGCCTTCATGTCGAGCAGCGCCTTCTCTATGATGTCCAGCTGCTCTCGGGCGCTGATGCCCAGCGCCTCCTCGGGCGACGCCCGTCGCACTGCCGCAGGGTCGCACTTGGTCGACAACCCTTCGTACGAGACGTAGATGGCTGCCGGCTCGACACCGATCACGACCGCCGGCCCATGCAAGGCCTTGAAGATCAAGGACGGGCCCCTCTTCCGCCGGTTCTTGCGCTTGCCCTCGCGGTAGAAGTAGACCACGTCGCCGAGCTTCACATTCGCGCTAGGAGGCATCTGACGGCTGCGAGCAGTCGCTTGCTAGTATCCAGCTTCTCCAGGGCCACCTTCGCCGCACTGTAGACCTGCAGCCGCTTCGTCATATTTGGGCCATTGTCCACCGCTTCGTGCGCCGCAATCTGGGAGCGACCGCGCTCACTGAGCAGCCCCCACGGCAGTGTCTGGGACCCCGCCCCAGCACGAGTTGCGCTGGCGAGAACCCGGACTCGTTGATCCGCCGGTTCTTGGCCCAGGTGATCATCACAGCGGCAGCCGTCACCACCAGCTCGGTCTCGACGTCCTTCTCCTTGGCACTGGCCTTCCAGGGCACCTTCCACTCGCCTCCAGCACGTTCACACATGCCTTTCTGCCACGGCGCCTCCACCGCCCTGAACCAAACTCGCACCCCGCAGCCCTCCAGCAAGCGAAACACCTCCTTGTAGAACTCGCCGCCGTTGTCGCACACCAACGAGTTGGGCACGCCGGCCCAGCTAAACCAGACCAGATCCAGCGCCTGGGACACAATGCCGGGATGCTTACTCTCGATGAGCGCGACCACCTGGAAGCCCGTCTTGATATCCACTATGTTGAGCATCTCCAGCGCCACGCCCGAGTTCGTGTGCACAGTAAACAGGTCAATCGCGATCTGTTCACCGAACTCCTTCACCTTCTTGAGCCGTGCGGGGAATCTGGTGTGTCCGACCGCCGGTCTGTTCTCTCGTGGCACACCGGGCACTGCAACTGCACCGCCGCCGCGATGGCCGCATCGCTTGCCCCGCACGCACGGAACGCCCTCACGAGCTGATCCTTCGAGGGATGTCGAAGGTTCTTGTGGATCATGAGCACCGCGATCCGCACCTCCTTCGATACCTTCGTCTCCTTCAGCGTCGTCATATCCTCCTGGGGTTCCTCTTTACAAATCCCCGATCATCCACCTCCTCTGGGCCCTCCTCGGCGCCCTCCTCAGCCGCGAGCACCTCCTTCGGGCCGAACAGCTTCAGCATACCTTTCACGATGCTCTTCGCCAACTCCGAAGTGTAGTGGCCCGTCCGCGCCGTCGCGCTCGGGCCGCCCATGACGAGGTCGTGCACGTGCGAATGGTCGCTCTGCCGGTCGAGGTCCACGAGCAGCTCCTCGCGCGACGCCAGGAAACTCGTCGGCTTCCGATGGGCTACCCCGCGCTCCGAGGCGAGCCCGTACATGCACTGGTCCACCTCTGCGGCGTATCCGTTCCGAATGAGCCCCTGAAGTTCTGGTTCGCCCCAGACTCGAGACCACCTCGGATTCTCGATCATCCAGGCGCCACCGTAGTTCTCCACGACCTTCGTCACCTCCTTCACAAATCTCAGAAAGGGCCGGTCTCGATCTTGCCGCTCCCGAACCTTGGCCTGATCCTTCTGGAAGGAGGTCAAGTTACTCCAAGGCCCGCAAGGAAAGGCCATGAGCACCATCTTCGGCTTCTTTGTCTTGATGTCCTGCAGCACCTCGCGGCGCTTCTTGGGCGACCTGAATTCGTCGCCGAACTCCAGCGAG